CGCCCGCACCGGCCCTGCGCACCGCGCCTGCGTGCGCCCCGCCGCCCGCGTTCGTGTAACGTCCCCGTTCCTGCCGTGCCATTGTTCCAAGTCGCCATCGTCCGCGGGGTTTGCTCGCCCAACTCCGCACGGAGCCAGAGGAGGGAAAAAATCTGGGCAGTGCGTCGGGCGAGCCGCCCAAGGCCCCGCCGTGCGCGCCTCCCCGCAGCGCCCTGCTGGCGCGCGTGCAGCCTCAGGGCTGGCCGCTTTGCTGCTGCGTTTGTGCCTTTCTTCGGCTGATTCCTTCGCACCCCTCTCCTGCTGCCTTTTGGAATGCGCCTGTTTACTCAGTGTCGTGCTATATACGTTGGAAGTATTTCATTTTCTTCGTGATTTTTAGAGGGCTCACAGCTAAAAGTCTGCCTTGGGTCTGACGGGACACTGGATTTGGTCTTTCCACCAATGCTGGAACTGTTAAGACCGGCCACTCTCAGTGATGGACCAAGTGCATCTTGTATAGTGAGATGAACATGAGCCTTTTGGGGGCCCTGGGTGGAATGTTAGGGCTTAGATCTAAAATGTTGCCCCAAAGCCTCCTGTTCTGAGCTGGGACCTTTGGAAGGTGATGGCGTCGTGGATGCCCGTACTCATCCGTGGACTCACCCGCTGAAGGGGTAGCCGGGTGTGCGGTTAGGAGGGAGAACCTGCTTGGAGGTGGTGGCTGGGGACAGGACGCGGGGCGAGGTAGTCTCGTCCCTCGTTCCTCGTTTCAGTCTCTGCTTCCTGGCTCCACACAGCGAGCAAACATCCCTGCGAAGCCCTTCCGCCACACCCTTCTGCCTCAGAACAACCAACCGGACCGACCCTCTGCCAACCATGAGCCTAAATAAAGCTGTCCTCCCGGAGGCTGTGCGTGTCGGGTGCCTGCCACGGGAAGTGCTAATACTGCACACCTGGTCCAATCTCCATTTTAGTAACAAAAAATAAATCAAGAATATGTAATTTGCTGGGTAGTCTTTGCCTTTGGTCATTCGGTGTCTGATTTCTATCGGAAGTATCTTTGGATGTTCCAGGTAAGCTTTTCTATATCTGCTGACGTGCATAAGCTCTGCTCGGCAAGAGCGCTGTCACCTTCTCTTGATAACAGTAGCCATCCTGCCGCTCACAAGGGAATTCTCCGCGGACGGTCTCTATTCCACAGGCAAACGCAGGGTTCAAACAGCCTGTCCCCCACTTCTGAAAAGACTGCACTTTCCAGTGAGTCAATCCAGGTCATTGGGTCGCATTGACGGTTTTGTTTGCGTCAGCGAATTAGCGTCTGCTTTTAGCCCTACCAATTGATCTGAATTTCATTGTAGTCAACATTTTCTACAGAAAATGTTGTCAGAAGCATCAAGAGAGAAACCAGCCTCAAAAGTCATGCAGCATCATTTTTACCACATCGTAGTGATAAAAACCAAGCACAGCACCCCAGACACAGCGGCTAGGCACGGGCATAATCACCAGGAGGTGGGATGGCGCTTCAGGGGCAGTACTCACAAAGCGGCTAGCGCATCGCTCCGGGCCAAATGCGCATTCAAATGTGCAGTTGATTGTACTGTTCTCGTGCTTGGAGTCAAATGGCCTGAGGCGTTTGTTCAGCTGCTGGCCAGCCTGGCCACGGCCCCATCCCCGTCTGTGACCTGCATATTTGCATCGAGTGTAATAAACATGGCCTGTTTATTTCTGCTTACAAATCTCCTGACTCAGTTGCTTCTTATCAAAGCCTTTTCTGCTGCAAAACGGAAAGAATAGATGAGGGAAATATATATATTTAAAAATCATTTATGCAAGTGGAAGGGGGCCAGGAGATACAGGGAGAGGGAGGAGAAGTAAAAAGAGTTAAGAAGTGTTATGGGGCAACCCACTCGGGCCCCCTTCTGTCCCTCTCTTGGACGGAAGTTTCTTTCCCTCAATAAATATATTCTGCTCTTAACCTCCGTTGTTCCTAAAATTCATTCTTCGATTTTAGAGAACACGAACTCGCCCCAGATATTGTTCAGGTTGGGAGCTTTTATTTTCCTGTATCAGCATCAGGCCAGTGTACATTAATACTGTTGATGCTTTTCAGCTCTTGTGGAATCGCTTGATCAACAGGGAGGTCACCAGCGGTGTCCTGTGTATATCCACACTGGAAAGTGCCTCTTGATAGGGCACACGTGACCGGAAGCTGTAAGCACCAATAGCAAGACCCCCAGTAAGTATATCCTGTAGGCGGGTGCGATCACGGCTCTTAGCTTGTTAGCCCATCCTGTAAATGCCACCCTTCCAGCTGCACATCTCCCTGGGGTCCTGAGGCTGAGTGCCTCTGTGTACTGTGCTGTCGCTTGGTTGCACGTCTGGCACAGGAGGGTGAAGCGGTGGCTGCGGCTGCGGCAGTGGCGGCAGAGCAGCTACAGGAGGGGCCGGGCAGGTCGCGACTGGCGGGGTGGGGAGGAGGTGACCGTAAAGGAGGGCGAGACAGCAGCTGGGCAGCGGCGCAGGAAGAAGAGACCTGCAGCGCTTCTGAAGTCCTGAGCAGAATTTTTGCCTGGGGCTGAACCGTGCAGAGCCTCCCCGTTTCCCTCAAACCTGGGACACCACCCTCCTGTTCTTGCACCTTGGCTGGGCTCCCCCGCTCCCTCAAAAGCTGGTGGGGTTTATTTTTAAAAAGTTAGTATGTGCTTTACAGTAAACAAAACCACAAGAAGCAAAGAACAAAGTCATTTGCAGTCATAAGCAGTTTGGCTGTGTCCTGGGTTCTGAATGGAAAGGGCAGAGCGTGCCATTTTGTGGGGCAGGGTGTTAGGGTTAGGGTTGGGGTTAGTGTGTCTTGCTTTTCTATACATGAATAGTCACCAGCTCAGAATCTAAATCTGCAAGAGTATTTTCGGTAATCAAGAATACACCACACTAGCTCAATCTGTTAGAAAAAAAATTGTAATCCTGCCTTTCTTGGGCACAAAAATTTCACTGAAGACAAAAAAGTGGCAACAAGCCCCCAGATAGAAGTATTGGCAGAGTTACAGTTGAAATACTGCATCCTCTGGAAGAAAAAAAAAAGCTGATGTTCTTGAAAGAACCAATAAAACAAATGTCCAGGGGCCAGGCATGGTAGTATACGCCTATAATTCCCGGCACTCAGGAGGCTGAGGCAGGAGGATTGCTTAGAGTTCAAGACCAGCCTGGGCTACAAAGTGACTTCAAGGCCAGCCTGAACTGCATAGAGAGATCCTGTCTCAAAAAGACCAAAACAGGCCAGGGACATAGCTCAGCAGGCACAAGCGCCTGCCTGGCAAGTACAAGGTCCTGAGTTCAATTCCCAGTAACCCCCCCCCCCCAAAAAGACCAAAACAACAACAGTAAAAAAACAAAAAAACAAAATGGACTCCCAGATAGCCTTACTAAGGCAGGCTGAAAGAAAACGAGAAAGACCTCCTCTCCCAAAGGAGAGAAAATATTAGGTAATGAAAAAGTAGATTTTAAAATCCTCACAGCAGCTTTCTGACTGTGGTCATAACAGTGGAGTATGTGCACAAGCCATGAGCTTAGCATTCACAACACAGACAAAAATTTACAATATTTTGGAATAAATAGTCAGCAGATGTACAGGGTTTCTAGTAAGAGCCTTGTAACTTCATATTGGAGAACATAAAACAAAATCTGAAAAAATGGAAAGGGATAAAAACATTAACCTCCCCTAAATAACAAATACAATGAAATCTGAATGAGAACCTGAAAAATCCCATTGGATTGGACAAAATAATTTTATATTACAAGTGTTATAAAAAAACTAATATTTATTTATTCCTTTGGAACGAGTACAATATTTTTATATGGTTGAAGTTCCGAAATAATAACCAAGGAGCAGGGAGTGACAAGGCCCTCTTGCAGCTCTCCCTGGGCCACTCAGGAGTCTTCTGCATAGGTCAGCAGTCTCTCCCGTGTACGTTCAGAGATGTTTGAGTCACACCTTTTCCATAGTGGTAGCATAATGCACACATTGTTCTGCTCTTGCTTTGTCTTAACATTATAACTTTGAGATGTACCCAAAGAGCTTGCTTCTACTTCTTTTTGGTGTCCACACCATATTGTATTTTACGGATAGGCCACGTTATTATACTGTTTGTTTACCATTCCCTCTGTAACTGATTACTCAGTCTTCTATTATTATAAATAACGTTCCATGAAAAAAAAAAAAAGGAGTGTTATGTCCAGGTGCTGAGTCCTGTGATGAATGTAATCATCATGCACTTCAAACAGGTACTGATAAAAATGAAGAGTTTTAGAAATCATTCATGGCTACACAAAGGTTCTTAAAATAATAGCAATACAAGGTCAGAAAGGGGATACGATAAAGCTAAGCTTAGATAGTAGCAGTGTAAGGCTAGAACTTGGTACTGTGTAAACATTCAGATCTAAATCATGCTGGTGATTCTTTAGCTTCCAGCCTGAGTGGCTAGTTGCACCCTTTGCAGAG